TCTAGCTTTTATTTGTACTTTAAAAAACGAAGTCATTTAAAAACACAGAATTAGGGGTTGGGGATTTAGCTCAGTGGTTGAGCGCTTGCGTAGCAAGCCCAAGGCCCTGGGTTCGGTCCTCAGCTCCGGAAAAAAAAAAAAAGAAAAGAAAACACAGAATTAACTATATAGCTCATATTTCTGGCTCATGTTGCACATCTATTGAACAGCACCATTTATGAATAATTCTTATAGTAATTACACATTAAAGACATCAACATCCAGAATATACTGGATTAAATAAAATATACCATAAAAATTAATTAGTTTCCTTCCCCTTTCCTAACCCATTAGAAAACTGAGAATGGCCGGGTGGTGGTAGTGGTGGCTCACACCTTTAATCCCAGCACTTGGGAGGTAGAGGCAGGTGGATCTCTGTGAGTTCGAGGCCAGCCTGGTCTACAGATTGAGTTCCAGGACAGCCAGGGCTGTTAAACAGAGAAACACTGTCTCGAAAAACCAAAAAAGTGGGAAAAAAGAAAAAGAAAACTGAGAATGATCATTGTCTCTTATCCCTGACCAGCCAGACAGCACTATTCTCTGCCCTCACTGGCTTTCTAGCTTGTCGTTTTCATGAGGGCTGTGCTTTTCCTACAGAACCAAAGACCATCTTTGTGGGCTCTGGCCTCATGTGGGGACAGGCAGGCTCTCCTTAAGGCCTTAATGACAGCCAGGAAAGCACAGATTGCCTTGCTGGACTTTCAGGGTTGTGGGGGAACTCTGATGCTGAATTGACTGGCCAGTGGAATCACATGCCGTTATCAGCACAGGCAATAAAGCCTGCATTTCCTATGCTTAGCTCCAGGGCTTCTTGTTAGTCCTAGGGAGTTGAAGATAATCCCAAGATCACCAAGAGAATCCAAAAAGCTCTCAATATCAAATACAGTTTGAAGCATCCGGGACATACATCGCCCAGGAGTTATCAATGAATTTTTGTTTGGTTTGTTTTTGAAACAGGGTCTCACTATGTAATTCAGGCTGGCCTGGATCCATAATCCTCCTGCCTTAGATTTCTGAATGCCTGTGTTAAAATTACAAGTGTGAGACATTATGCCGAACTTTTAAAAAACTTTAAATGGCTGGAGAGATGGCTCCTTAGTTAAACTCCCTTGCTAGTCTTGCAGAGGACTCAAGTATGGTTCCCAGCACCAACATCTGGCAACTCACAAACACCTATAACTCCAGCTCCAGCAGACCTGATTCCCTCTTTTGGCTTCAGAGGGCACACGCACACACGTGGCACACATATATGTACACATAAATAAAAATAATAAAAAGAAAATGTAAAGAAGGAAAGTCTTAAATATGTTCATTTTTAAGTATAGGGAAAAAAAACAAGAATAAGACATACTCAAGTGTAGGTATGAACTTCTTAAAGGAGAGTCACCTGAATAACCCCCCTCAGATTAATTTACTTTATTTATTTTTATTCATGTGTCTGTGTCTATGTCTGACATGTGGGGGGGGGTGTGTATGCACACACACACGCCCGAGGAGGCCAGAGGAAGGTATCAGGTCCTCTGGAGCGGGAGTTATGGGTAGATGTGAGCTACTCCACATAGGTGCTGGTCCTCTGTAAGAGCAGTAAGAACTCTTCACTGTTGAGCAATCTCTCCAGCCCCCTAAGAAAGCTTCATAAATGTTATTGTTGCCCAGGCTTTGTGTTCTTCAAAACTAAATGGGGAAGTAATAAAACAATGGTGTAAAAACTGCAAACATGAATATTCAGTAGGATTTCTTCTGAAGACTGAAGCTTCCAGCACGGTAACTATTAAGCACACATGGTTATAAAATATTAATGAATTTAAATTGACATGTATATACATGAGACTAGTGAGTACATGTTTTTCTTTTCATTTTTGTCTTTTATTTCTTTCTTTGTTTTTATCTTTGTAGTTTCATTTTTTAGTGGCTGTATTTATATAGTGCAGTTTAATAACTCCAATGTTTCTCTTGCTTATTGCAAAAAAAAAAAAAAAAGCCAGATGTGGTGACACACAGCTGTAATCCCTGCACTAAAGGAATGAGGACAGAAGAATCAGAGGTTTAAGGGCAGCCCCAGCTACAAAGCAATTTTGAGGCCAGCCTGAGCTACATGAAACCCTGTCTCAAAAAAAAAAAAAAAACAAATAACTGTAGGAAGATCAAGAACACTAAAACATCATTAATGTAATAACAAATGTGTACCATTTTTATTCTCCATCATCTTCTTTATACCTTTAATAAATTCATTAAATTAAAAATAACTAAATCATCAAATTCATTCTCCTATGTTTTAAGATCTTCTGCCTAATTTTTTAATGTAGCAATTAGTCTAAATGGTACTCTGATTTTATTTTCATCTCTGGTAATGGGCATATGGCTTATTAAGTCCTCAGGAGTTACTGACTGCATCTTGGGAAAACAGCAGACAGCAATTTGACTAGACAGCCCATGATGACTGAACAGAGAAAAAAGGTGGCAGGCAATGAGCACAATGCTTCCGAACTTGCCACCCTCTCCTACTTCCTTTACTCCTTGTTCTGCTTTACCTTACCTAAAATGGTCAGATCGGAAGCTGGTGCAGGACTGAATACTGGCACTCCCAGTGACTGACTAAGGCAGGAAGAGATCAAGATGTCGAGGCCATCCTGGGCTACAGAGTGAGTTGGAAGTCAGCCTGGGTTACACGAGCCCAGACAAACAGCACATAAAATGGTCAGATTTGAACGTCTGAGGCAAGCACTGAACCTATGATGACAGAAATGATGAGGATAAGAATGATCATGACGGGGTCTATCGAGGTGGCTCAGGGATTAAGAGCACTTGCTGCTCTTCCAGAGGTCCTGGGTTTGGTTTCCAGCACCCACATGGTGGCTCATAACCATCTGTAATTCTGGTTCCAGCAGATCTAAGTCCTTCTTCTGACCGCCAAAGGCACCCTCAAACATGCATGCGGTGCACAGACATACATACAGGCAAACACACACAAAAAATAAAATGAGCCGGGCGTTGGTGGCGCACGCCTTTAATCCCAGCACTCGGGAGGCAGAGCCAGGCGGATCTCTGTGAGTTCGAGGCCAGCCTGGGCTACCAAGTGAGCTCCAGGAAAGGCGCAAAGCTACACAGAGAAACCCTGTCTCAAAAAATAAATAAATAAATAAATAAATAAATAAATAAATAAATAAATAAAATGAATAAATCTAAGAATGATCATGATACTAATAGGAGCTGCTAGCACTGACGTTCTAGCCTTTGACAACCTCAGGTTCTTCTTGTCTCAGAGCAGCAGCCTTCTGTTGGGCTACTGAGCTGTCAGAAACAATGAGTATTGTCTTCACAAGCAAGCAGGGGAAGGATGGGCCAGCAGAAGAGGAAATATGCTCACTGGGGCAACAAAGACCATAATATTCTCCTGCCTGAAAAAGGGTTGGAACAGTGTTATATGCCAAGAGCCAAATAGGAAACCAACCGTGCCCCATGTTCCCACCGACTTAGAAACAAGAGCATGTCTTAATATATGAGAGATTAATCAAGGGAAGTTGACCTTCTCTGCCACTCCTGTCTGCAGCAAGCTGTCCTCAAAACACAGCAGACAGGGTTTTAGATGTTTAACTTTCAACCTTCTGCTGCAACATAAAAGAGGAAAACTTTAGTAGCTGGATCAATATGACTAATTTTTTCCATTTTAGGCCTTAGACCACAAAGTACCAGAATTCACAGTAAGCCAGTCTGGATAGGATGTGGGCACGCTTGTAGGAGGAAGCCACACCCAGCAAAGAGAAATTTCGTATGACTCAGGCCAATTTCTTTTAATAAGAAGACACCCAGTGCTGAAGGCAACAGGAATTTATAGTTAAAATAGATTTGTGGAGCAGTTTCAGAATCCTGGGCTTAAGCTAGATTAACACCATCATTGGCAAGCATTTTCTTCTTTACCCATCTTTTAATTATATACATACAGGGTCAGGAAGAAAACCAGATTTCAGTGCAGGCCAACATTCAAAAAGTCTGTGTGGGCCTTTTTTGTTTTGTTTTCCTGATAGTGGAAATTTTCTCTTTAGTGCTACACTTAGCTACTTCATCTGCCCATAAACCCAAATATACACACCATCCTTTCTCATCATCTCAATGGTTCTTATCCACGGGGCAGTTTTGTTCCCTAGAACTCATTGGGAAATGTCTACAGACACTTTTGATTCTTATAACTGTGCGGTGGGGGGGGGGCGGGGGCGGCTGCAACTAGGACCGAGGGAGTAAACACACTCCCCTCAGCCCCACACCCGTGCCAGGGTGGAGAATCCCTTTAACACCATGACGTGGACAATAACTTATGTCTCCAAGGGAGCCACAGGGCACTGAAAGCAGACCATCTGCTGCCTCATTTGATCTCACATATTTTCAGCAGAGCACACACTTACAAGCTGGTCAGCTAGAATTGAGTCTGGGATTTATAACTCCAGGCCGAATATTCTGGAGCATGAAGACAACCACCCATGTGCAAAATTCAATCTGCAAATTCTATAAATGTAAGCTCTGCTGCAACAGTTTGCAGTCTGTGCGTCAACCTTAGTCAAAAGAAACAATATATCAGATTTCAAGACATTTCAAAGTTTTCATAGCCCCGCCCACTTTCAGCAGGACATCATTTAGCATGCTAAAACAGGTCTAAAGGACTTTCCATGTCTGTTGTCTTTACAGTCATGTTCACAGGTTTTTTGTTTTGTTTTGTTTTGGTTTGGTTTTGGAGACAGGGTTACTCTGTGTAAGCATTGGCTGTCCTGGAACTCATACTGTAAACCAGGCTGGTCTTGAACTCACAGAGATCTTCCTGCCTCTGCCTCCTGAGTGCTGGGATTAAAGGTGTGCACCAATATCGCCTGGCATGTTCCCAGTTCTTAAAGTGTATAATTCCACATTGAAATTTCTACAGGGAATTAGCAACCAACCTTTCCACTCTCTTAAAGGAGTGGAGTACTCACAGGCTCGGTTCCGGGTTCGGTAAGTGCAGGTGTAAAGACTGCAGGACCTCACTGGCATAGACCTCGGAACCTGGAACCTTCTCCACAGCAATGTACAGGGAGACGCTCGCAGAATCACCCTCAGGTGATTCATCGCCGGCATCTTTAGCTTGGACTTTCCAGCAGTGGCCAAACACCTCAAGGGAGCCTAAAAACCTGGAGGAGGGCAGAAGAAGGAAAGTTATACACAGTGCCCAACACGGAGTGAACAGCCCAAGGACACCTCAGAGAAGACAACCCTGGGAAGGCTAGTTCACACCCTGATGTGGGGGTGGGGCAAATGAGAGTCAATAGTGTATTCACTCTTGTTTTTCAAACTGAGTGCCTTGGTGGCATGCAGGGTTCAGAGGACTGACTCATGAGTTTGGCCATTCCCTCAGAGTTGGCAAACATTAGAGGCCCAGAGAAAAGATTCTTCCTCATACACATAAAGATTGTTGGTGGTAGCTACCGTTTCTTAAAATTAAAAGAAAATGTATTCCCTCAAATCCTAATTAGTTACCCAGTATGGTGTTTACATGTCGGAAGAATTCAATGATTAATGCTCCCTTAAGGCAGCCTGAATTAAAAAAACAAAAAACATTTGTTTCTGGCTTGCTTTTAAAAACAACAACAGCATCAGATACATCCTGCCAAAAGAGTTCTGGGTAGTTTTGAAATCTAAGTTGAAGTATAATCTGTGACTCTTGCTCTGGAACACAGAAAAACTGGCCAATGGTGAAGTCTTAAACCTTGTCTCCACCACGCACATTCACAGTGATAGTTTCCGAAGCAATGCTTTATAAGGTACCACTACAGAGGCCTCAGATTATGGTACCATTAACTTGGACCATTTCCCTTCTGGCAGTCCCTCACCCCTGATCCACTATTTCTTCATTAAATTTGCCTGTAACAAGTGAACAGACAAGTTCTGAAATGAAAAAATACAAACAAACGAATAAAACTTGTTTAAAGCCCAATTCATTCCTAAAACCTTTCTCCTGCCTTCTGTGTGCCTGGTTAATTCCTGCTTACCATTTATGTGACTGACTACAGAGCCACTTCCTTAAAGGCTCCCTCAACTCACACTCACCAGGTTAGGATAACACCCTCTTCTTGGTGCTTATCACAGCTGAATTAAGTAGTTGATCAAAAATGCACTTTACAATTCCATTCTACCCAGAACCTAAGCTCCATCTGGTGGGAGCTGCATCTCCTAGGGGCAATGCCTTTAAAACATGGGTTTGGGGACTAGAGAGATAACTCAGCAGTTAATAGCATTGGTTGCTCTTCTGGAGGACCAGGGTTCAATTCCCAGGACCCACAGGGTGGCTCATGACCATCTGTAACTCCAGTTCCAGGTGATCCAAAGCCCTCTTTCTGGACTCCATAGACTCTGCATGCACCTAGTGCACAGACATACACACAGACAAAATATCTGTACACATAAAGTTAAAAAAAAATAAAACATGGATTTGAGGACCTGAGCAGGTTTCCTTGTGGTGGTGAACTGTAGATCTTAATTTTAAGAACTGAGAATTGTGATATGACAGCCAGCATGTATTGGAATGGTACCAAGGGTCTTTTCTAGGGTTCTGTTTGATTTATTTTATTTATTGCAGTGGTAAGTATCCCAAGGTTTCATGTATGCCAGGCAAGTGCTTTACCACAGAGTTATACATACTCTCAGACCACATGGTTTGTTTATATTATTTTTGATTCTAGTTTAGGCACTCAAGGGTGGGAATTCTCCCAACACTTTTGGTTGTTGTTTCAACGTTTATTATAATTTCCTTTCTTCCAGATACTATGTTGGACACTGTGATTCTAAGGAGGAACAAAAGACATTAAAAAATAAATCCTGATACATGGTATTATGTTATGCTGCTAGAAGGAAAGAACTCCATTTCATCTCTGTTGCTGTGTATTTCAGCTTACACTTCCAAGTCATAGTTCATCATTGAGGGGAATCAGGGCAGGAACTCAAGCTCGAGCTTGAAGCAGATACCATGGAAGAATGCTACCTGGTGACTTGCTTGCTTGATGGCTTGCTGTGGCTCAAGCTCAGCTAGCTAGCTTCCTTATAAAGCCCAGGATTGCTGCCCAGGGAATGGTACCGCCCACAGTGGGCTGGGTCATCTGACATCAATTAATAGTCAAGACAATCCCTGACAGATATAGACACAACTTGATAAAGATAACCGAGACTCACTTTTCAGGTGATGCTAATCTGTGTCACATTGACAGAAAATGCTAACTAGAACAAACTTACATATAAAGTTACATACTAGTTTCTTCCACCACTGTTGATTAAACAAGAACAAAAAAATATGCCATCAGTATATGTTTGTGTCAAATAAGGAAATTGTGGTAAACAAATACATTTTTTTTAAGGAAATGGCTTTGTCATTTCTACTTCAAGTGCATCTATGCCAGATTTGTTAACTGGTGTGACACGCTAAACATCTGTTGGGTCCCAATATTTTCCAGTTGAAAAATATTGATCAAAGCCAGTGTAGTACTTCATGCCTATAATCCCAACACTTTGGAAATTGAGGCAGGAGGATTAGAAATTCAAAACCATCCTTGAGTTTGAGGCCCTATCTGAAACAGGGGTGTGGGAGAGCTGTAGAGAGCTCAGTGGGAAAAGGTGCTTACCATACAAGCCTGGGGACCTGAATTTGATCCCTGGAACCCTTGGTGGAAAGACAGAACTGATTTCCAGAAAGTTGTAGAACTTGTCCTCTCACTGACACATGTGTGTACGCACACCCATGCATAAAAATAATAATAAACAAGAACGTAAAATCATCTTGCTCAGAATGACTACCCAAAACCAACCTAACATCATCTACATGTCACGGCTACAACAGAGTGGAGGAGTTGCCCGTCTACTGTAAACTAAAATGTGTTGTCTTATATAAAGATAAATGGAGCACATGTAGTACCGACCATAGGAAACTATAGACCAGAAGGCAGACTGATGGTTGCTAGGACAGGAATGAAAGGGAAGACAGCAACTGGCCACTTACTAGGGAGGAGTGTTCTTGAGGTGATGGAAGCTTGTGGAACTAAATAGAGGTCACAGTTATACAAAACTGTGTAAAGTCTCAATGCTACTGCCATTTTCACTTAAAGAAGTTAGTTGTGTTTTGTGTGACTTTTTTTTAAACCTAAACATTTGCATTTTCTAAAGCAAAGAACCAGGGGAAAATGCAGCAAACCATTTCATAGGAAGGTGTTTACCATGCTCGAGTTTCTGCCTCGGATGGAAAAAACAGCTCCCGACACTTTGGTCTTGACTTGGGGGCAAAGGGACAAAATAAAAGGAAAAGTTGGGAGATTCTACAGGTGTTTTTCACTACAGACTTGAATCTCTTCTTCCCAAGAAGAGTCTTAGACGGGAAAAAAAGAGTGAAAGAACACACGCAGAAGACTGGGATCATGAGCCCCACCCACCCCACCCCCCAGTGCTAAAGCAAGGAGGCAAACGATGTGAGTTCAGCCTCCTCTCCCTCATCAAGCACATCCCTGCTATCCAGTGGCTAGGAGCTGGCTGCCTTCCTCGGCACTGCTGCCCTTGATCTTGCTCCTTTTGAGCTAGAGGGAAGAAGGAAGGCTACCTGCGAGCAAAAGGAGAGAGAAGTCCCAGCGGCAGTGACAGTGTGTCCGGTGAAAACAGGAGCAGTTCCTCCCTATAGTTAATCTCCCGGGGACAGTCAAGGGTTCCAGGCAGAACAGTAACTGTCATCACGCCATCTCCCCAGATGGTTACACTGTTCTCTCACCCAGTCCCCAGCATGCAATGTGCATTACTTTGTCAAATGCACCCCTGGGAGCAGCAAAGTGCATCCATCACACAAGAGGAGAGACTGAGAAGGTGGTTCCAAAGCCAATGGGCGTCCTCACTTCTAGCCTGACTCTAGCTAGGGCTTTTAAGCAAGTGATTTCTAAACTGTTTGTAAATTTGCTCAAAGGGTGTTTGAAATCCTCAAACCAAAGTTAAAATCAATGTTATTTATAGTTTTATATGTTTTTGAGTGTATACATCTTTGGATAAAGCATGTATGCCAAGCCAGAGTCAATATTTAAATACAGTCTTGTAAGAAACTATTTTTCTAGGGGGTGAGGAGATAGCTCAACCGGTAAAGTGCTTGTTCTGTAAGCTTGAGGACCTGAGTTCGGATCTCCAGTATCCATGTAAAAAGTCAGGTGTTGCAGAGCATGCCTGTAATCTCAGCACCGGGGAAACAGACAGCAGGATCCCCACAGTTTACTGGACAGTCTGGCCAATTGGTGAGCTCCAGGTTCAATGAGTGACCCTGTCTTTTCAAAACAGGCAGTAACTGAGGAAGATACACATACATCACCTTGTTTTCAAATATCATCTTTAACTGAATTAACTGAGCAGCCTTACAGAATAAGAGCTCACTGACCACCTCAATTCGTCATTTGATTCTGCTTTCTTTTCTTAATCTTTTATTATGGAAAACTTCAAATTTATACATTGGGCCCTCTGTACTTGTATACATGGATTCAGCCAAACATGAATCAAAAACACATGTAAAAGAATTTTACCTATTTTGGACGTATACCACTTATTTTCAGCTTGAATTTTTTTAATTTAAAATTGTTTTTCACTGGGTGTACTATAATGCCAGCACTTAAGAGGCTGAGGTAAGAAGATTTCTAATTTGAGGCCAGCCTGGGCTACCTAGTGAGATTCTTTCCAAACCAGGGACATCAAAATAAATAAATGAAAATATTTAACGTACATAAAACACAAAACTGTGCATATTTACAGAGTACTATATGTTATTTCAACACATGTATATATTATGACTGTGTCACTTTATATAAAAGACTTGAGCATCTTCAGATTTGGTTTCTGAGTAGATCATACAATCGATCTCCATGGGATGATTGCATAGTGAAAAAACACTATCCTAAAGCCAGCTATATGCCCTGTGGTGGTGGCCCACACCTTTAATCCCAGCACTTGGGAGGCAGAAGCAGGTGGATCTCTGTGAGTTCGAGGCTAGCCTGGTCTACAAAGCAAGTTCCAGGACACCTAGGGCTGTTACACAAACATCTGTCTCGAAAAACCAAAAACAACAACAACAAATACCAGCTACCAGCTATATATCCAGCATTCTATTTCAACAAGTATCTATCCA